GCCTTAGTGCCCTCCTATATTTGAGGGGATAAAAAGCAAACATTGCTGTGCCCCCCGAACAAAGTAATTCTACCCCTGCAATCTGATTGGACAGAGAGCTACTGTTGACATGCCAGGCCAGCAGGGTGGAAATATCACAATGTGTGCAGCTATTTCGGACAATGGGGTCCACACTCTCATCCCTTTTATGGGGCCATACAACACCTAACATCTGCTGACCTTCTTGAACACCCTCTACGGGGATCTCATTCCTGAAGAAGAGATTGGTCAAGAAAATGTACCAAAGTATGTCATCTTTTGTGATAATGTGAGTTTCCATCATTCCAACCCAATCAGGCAATGATTTGCCAGCCACCCCAGGATGCTGATGGAATTCCTACCACCATATTCCCCATTCCTCAACCCAACTGAGGAGTTCTTCTGAGCTTGGAGGTGGAAGGTATATGACCATAACCCACATACACAAATGACACTGCTTGCTGCCATGGAAGCTGTGTGTTGGGATATAACTGCAGACACCTGCAGAGGCTGAATAAGACATTCTAGGAGGTTCTTTCCACACTACATTGCAAAGGAAGATATCTGTTGTGATGTGGATGAGAAGATGTGGCCCAATATACAGGATCGGCTGCAATTGTAGAAAGCATTTAGAGTTTCAGTATGTATATATTCCCTTTTTGATTTTGTAATTCTTTTTTTTTAACCTTGCTGAAAAGCACCTTTTCCCATATTTCACAGGTCCAACTTGAGGTCATCCATGCCAACTCGATCTGGTTGCATTTTTGGATATCAGTCATTAATGGCTTGTTGCGCCCCACAGACCAAACTGCTGGCATCGGCAACGAACTGTTGAGCTGACATTGACATGACAGTTGTCTGACCACTCACACAGTAGCTGAGGTGAGGTCATCTTGCGATTAGTCAATGAAATGTGTCAAAGTGCATGGTCCTGGCGAAATGTTGATGCACATGGATGACCAGACCAAGGCTTGTCTACCAAGGAACACATCACTTTCTTCTTTTGTACGATCTATACGACCACAGTGTGACTGCAGCTGATTTTGCTGGCGATCTGGCAACACAAAAATCCTTCCTCGCTCATCACTGACACACAAACACACTCCTTCAACATCAGACCCTGAGTCTTTTTTTCATGATCAATGCAGATAGTGTATGAAACCCAAAAAGATCTAGATTTGACACAGGATACGTACAAGTAATAGCAGCTATGTTCCAATATCAACAATATTGTAAAATTAGAAACAAGTTATATTAAAAAGTTCATTGTAATAGCCAAATGTATCACAGTTTTTTTTATTGCTTTTTAAGCAGACTTAATCTTGCATCACATAGCATAACTTCTCTGTAATTGTTTGGCTGTGTAAATGAGAAAACCATGGATTATTTGTATAAAATTCAGAAGTTTCACAAAGCATTCTGGTCTGTTCATCTGATTGCACATGATTTATGATCAATGCTATTGTTCATTGAATGTACCTCTACTGGGAGCAAAGAAACCTCTACTAGCTATTGAAACAGCAGTTTAACAAATGAAAACAAATAAGATAAGAAATACAAAGGGTGTTAATAATGTTTTACTAATCTAGCAAACATAATATTTATTTAGCCCACACGAGTTTGGGCAGGTTCCACGAATGCAGATCACCTCTTCCACACACACACTGCAAACTCATTGCTAGAAATAGCATCAACCTTGCAGAAACTGACTACAGGGGTGCTGCACGTAAGGTTCAAAGCATCTCCTCCGGCTGCATCAACGACTTCATACTTTGGGGGGGGGGGGGAAATCAGAAATAAAGTGAAGTAAACCCCCGCAAATCCTGTTTCAATCTCCCAAACATTTAAAGCTTGGCTATACACAACCACACACAATAATGGGCAACAAAGCAAAATGCCCAAGAAATACCCAAGCTTGAAGGCAACAATGCTACTCATGGAGCATCCAGCTCAGCTTCTAAACTTGTAAAATGAAAAAAGAATAAAAATGCATGGTGCAATTTGATGAATGATTTTAATGTTAGCATACAAATGTCTTTATATAGCCAGTGCATTCTATGAAAGCTGGAAACAGCTGTAACTTACAGTGCAGATTATTTATCTCATAATTTATATGAAAGCAACAAGATCCAAAAATAACATTTGTTGGTTTTATGAATTTTTGATGTTTTATTGATTTTATGGATTACTGTATGATTTTATTATAAATAAAGCGTTTTTGTGCCAGAATGACGACAAGAGGGATATCGTTATGATAGCAAGTTTACTTGATCCCGTTCTGACCGGAAGAAAAAAAATAGCAAAATCTTACACCACTGATCTGGCTTTCTGATTAAAAAAGTAAATCGCATCTACAACCTATTTCAAATGTCTTATCCTCATTAAACGACCTATTGAAGAATTACCATCAAAGTGTAAAAGTCTGTATGCATGATAGAAAACCTGTTCTGCTAAGTGCTCGGAATAAAGCCGAACAAAACAAAAATCTCATTAGTGTATACCTACATATTAATGGACACGGATGCTAGCACAATTTAAGCAACTGGTAGGCTGAGAACAGGCAAGTTTATACTACCGAGATGCTCCATCTAAACTGACAGTATAATTACCTTGTTCCCTGGGGTCTCCATTCACTATTGTTAGTGCACTATTGACAAGTAGCAGGATCAAACACATCAGTGGGCGTCCGCATGCTGCTGATATAACTGACTTCTTCTGCCGGTACATCCCTGTTTGCCTAAGTACCGCTAACCGTGTGCACCACTCGCTGCAATGATCACTCCTCTGCTTGACGTTAAGAATTGTCTACCTAAGAAAACAAGAAACGCATTGCTGTGTAAAATCGCAGAAGAGAACTGGCGCTTGCTCGGTGGACTGTGTGTGTGTGCGCGAAAGTGAACAGGAAGAAAAACGCCGACTTATTCGAGAACCGTATCTTCACTTGCTCGTTTACACGTCATATTGTACCATCAGCCACAACTCAATCACAAACGGACAGTTTCAGTCTTCTCCTGCCTTGTACATAAACTTCTGCGAATACCACCTTGTGGTTTTAACCTCATCCACCCAGAATGATTAACGGTTTTATTGTGGCAGGCGCGAAGCCATTCTTATTGAATACTTTAGTACGCTTTTTTATTATTATTACTTCAGTGCTGTGAAATGGAATAACAGGTTTCTTAGTTTCCAAAACTTTACAAATTCCACCAATAACATTTTGTATTATCCTTGCCATATTTTGTTCATCCTGTATCGTTCTCTACCCTCATACTCGCATTGATAGTAAACCTAATCGTAAATAGAAATTGTCATTGATCTATACAGACCTAAATTAACCGTCCATCCATTTTTTGTACCCACTTGCCCTGTGCAGGGTCAATGTGGTTTGGTGCCTATCCCAGAAGCCACCGGCACCAAGCAATGAGAACTTAATTTTAACATCAAAAGTGCTTACTCGTAATAAAGTTTCTGTTTTAAAATGACACCCTGTATACCACATAAACACACACACATCACAGATGTTTTTACCCGTGCATAAATGTAATAAGAATTCAGTTTTAATGTCTTTTATTGGGAAATACCCTCACAAAAGTTATCATGGTATTATCATGTCAGTATGGTTGTGCTGGATTGTACCTTCAGTGTTTTTCTGTTTTGTGCATGGTACATTTATGGTATAATGATACATGTTCCTAGTATTTAACAGTATTTTATACTATAGTACTTTGTTCTGATACCACAGTGTTCTGTGACCCATGGTGTTACGGAAGCGAGACATGGTGCAGGCAGAAAAAGAAGGTGACGATCCACTGGCAGCTGTGAGACACAGGGGGATTTATTACAGAAGATAAAACACTGGGTAAAACTACAAAGAAAAGGACCACAAGTGGTCAAAAAGCAAAATGGGGGAAAAAATGACTAACTACAAGGAATGACTAGGAAATAAGGTCCAGAAACAAAGCAACACAGGGCGCAAAAACTGATAGGGAACAACACACAAACTCATACAACAGCACAAAGTAACATCTAACATTCCAACACAATGAGCAACCAAGGGAGCAGAACACAAGCAGGCACTAAAACACAGATAACAAGGACTAAAAAAAGGCAGGTGCGAATACTCAAAACAATCACCTAATCATTACAGACACCTCAAACAGAACACAGGTGGAATTAACTAACAAAAGCATATAACTAAGGTAGAACTAAGAGAAACAAGGAAACAGAATCTAACACTAGGAAAACAACAAAGGCAGGTAAAAGAAAACCAGGGGCACAAAGCAAAAAACCAAAACAGAATACACAGGAACTAGAAAAAACTGATACAAATGAAACACAGGGGAACAAATGTACTAAACCAGGGGTGCCCAGTCCTGGAGCCTGTACTACGAAGCGGGGTTACTGGCTTATCGGGGTAAATTGTCGGATTTAAGGTAGTCTGAGCAAAATGTAAGTGAACGAATATGAAGTCCATTTACACTGTGGTACCTTAAATCCGACAAGTTACCCCGATAAGCCAGTAATCCTGCTTCGTAGTACAGGCCACTGCTCCTGGAGATCTACCAGCCTGTAGAGCTTAGGTACAGCCCTAATTTAACACACCTGATACAGATAATCAGACACTTCAGTATCACCTCAGTATTAGAGTCAGCTATGTTGAAGTTAAGCTAGTTCTCATACTGAAGTGCCTGGGGAAACACACTAAGGGCTTGGACAATAGGGAGGACAGAATAGCCAGCAACACCAGCTGGCCAAATGGGGAGGAGACACGAAAGGCTGGGACAGACAGGTGCTGACCCTGACACCATGGTATTTACATCCTACCTGTATCCCCATGATATTTGTTTCCTACCTGTACTATGGTATTTCGTACTCATGGTTCTGCCAAGAAGCACATATAATATAGCTCCCTTACAAAAAATTCCAGAAGTTACAGTCTGTGAATTCATGCTTAGAGCCTGCCTATGCCAGTTGCAGATCAACAAACAACAGATTTTTTTTTGTATAGTGCATCATCACAACATTACATCGTCTCAAAGCGCTTTACAGCATCCCCACCCAAAGCCCCCAGTGAGTAAGCCATAGGCGACAGTGGCAAGGAAAAACTCCCTAGAAGGAAGAAACCTTGGGAGGGACCAGACTCAAAGGGGGAGCCCATCCTCCAGGGGCTGGCAGATGATGAAATTTAAGTATCCCGCAAATATCATACCTATCACGCACTGCTGCTGTTAGCAAATTCCACAAACATGCTTTTTTTTGTTAAATACATGGCTCGACAACACAATTTCACTACAAAACATTTCAAACCATTAGATTTCAAAATTCTTTTAGGTATTGTACCAAATATTTTTTGTGTCATAATAAGATTGTATGCAAAAATTTTAATAAAAAATAAAAAAGTAGCATGTAATGATTCCATATAATATGTATGACATCAGTTCCTTAAACCTCACAAATGTTTCACATATATGTGAGATTTGCAGTCAGACGGGGGCCCTCGACGTTGCAAGGGGGGTCTGGGGCAGATGCCCCGGCTGCCCCCCCCAACCAGTCCGCCCCTGGCACTGGGTCAGCACAGTCGAGGAATTTGGATTCTGCAAAGGCAGACAGTAAAGTAAAACATAACTTCATTGGTTGTTGTCCACAGGTTGTTGTCCAAATACTATCTGGTTAGATTTAGTGCTTCTTCTCTATAGGCTGAAATTACTCAGAGATAAATCCCAGGAGGGTTGTGTCATCTGCAAATTTGAAAATACTGTTTGCATAGCTGTCAAGTCTCCCGTTTTGGCCGGGAAACTACCGTATTTTACCCCTCTTTCCCGCCATCCTCCCGTATTAGTATTTTCCCGTAAATCTCCCGTATTATAATATCATTAAGAAAAAAAATTCCTCTGCCTCTCCAAACTGAACTGTCAGAAGCCTCGCGAGAACTGCCACCTGCAGTAGTCTGCAGGTCATTTACAACATTAACCAGGTCATAAATGCGAAGGTTAAAATGGCAATGCTGTGTGCCAAAAACAACGTTACTTTCACCTTCTGTGACGACTTCAACAAGGATACAAAGTCTGCAACAAATCTGTATAATAAGTTATTAGTGAATGCCAGAGAGCCACATGAGTGAACATGACAAATTAAAAGAAAATGTGTAATGAAAATAAAATGTAAATGACAAGTGGTTATTTTAGATTTCTTGTACACCTGTCTTAAAATGTAAGGGATAAAATCTCACATAAGAACATAAGAACATAAGAAATTTACAAACGAGAGGAGGCCATTCGGCCCATCAAGCTCGTTTGGGGAGAACTTAGCTAATATCTCAGAGTTGTTAAAATCTTATCTAGCTCTGATTTAAAGGAACCCATGGTTTTAGCTTCCACTACAATAGCAGGAAGACTATTCCATACTCTGACTACACGCTGTGTAAAGAAGTGCTTCCTCAAATTTGTTTTAAAATGTTCTCCCGCTAATTTCCACTTATGGCCACGAGTTCTAGTATTTAGACTAATATTGAAATAGTCGTTTGGCTGAACAGCATCCAGACCCGTTAGAATCTTATAGACCTGAATCATATCCCCATATCACAGCAGCATGCTGACCAAAGTTGACAACCTTGGTTATATAGGAATTCTTTTTGACACTGGGTTGGGGGTGGCATGGTGGTGCAGTGGTTAGCACTGTTGCCTCACACCTCTGGGACCTGGGTTCAAGTGTCTGCTTGGGTCACATGTGTGTGGAGTTTGCATGTTCTCCCCTTGTTGTCATGGGGTTTCCTCCAGGCATTCTGGTTTCCCTCCACAGACCAAAGACATGCTGAGGCTACTGTAATTGGCATTGCTAAATTGCCCTTAGGTGTGCATGTGTGAGTGAATGGTGTGCAAGTGTGCCCTGCAATGGGCTGGCCCCCCCATCCAGGGTTGTTCCCTGCCTCATGCCCATTGCTTCCAGGATAGGCTCTGGACCCCCCACAACCCAGTAGGATAAGTGGGTTGGACAATGGATGGACATTGGGCTGCAATCATTTAAGTTGTACTGCATTCAGTGATGGAATCTGAGAATTTCACATAAGCAACTTGCAGGAATCAGCAATTATAATATGAATTTTATTTTCACCATTTCAAATAAAGACAATTTAAAATGTGAAGTTTTATTTCTGTTTTTTTTTTTTTGACATGGGTTTTGATAAAAATGATTCCTTCAGTTTTTGCTATTGAAATGCACTATATGGACAAAAAAATTGGGACACACCTCTTAATCACTGAATTCAGGTGTTTCATTCAGACCCATTGCACAGGTGTATAAAATCATGCACCTAGCCATGCAGTCAGGTTTACAAACATTTATGAAAGAATAGGTCGTTCAGAAGAACTCACTGAATTCAAACGTGGTACTATCATAGGATACAACCTTTGCAATAAGTCAGTTTGTGAAATTTCTTTATGCTAGCTATTCCATGGTTGACTGTAAGTGGTATTATTGCAAAGTGAAAGCGTTTAGGAACAACAGAAACTCAGCCACAAAGTCTCAGATCACGTGAAGTAACAGAGTGGGGTTGCCAAGTGCTGACCCAGATAGCACACATATGTTGAAATGATCTTGATTACATATTAAACAATGTTGATCTTCAATGTTGATTTAGCATTGATCTTGTTTGTTGAAAAGGCCATCTATCCAACGTTGAAAAATCAACCATTTGTGATAAGGATTGAACGTTGTTTCAACTCTTGTTTGTCAACTTCTTTATCCATTGATTTAGTCTTGAATTAGTTTATGTTGAATCAATATTGGGTTATAATTGTTTCACAAGTGAATTAATGTCGAAATTATGTTATATCCAGCTGGGCTTTCTAAAGCTTAATAAAAAAAAATATATGTAAAAATATTCAAATTGAAAACA